AAACTTCTTGTTAGACGAAGTTTGATATTATAAAGTTTTATACTTTAAATTCTTATTAGATTAAGTAACATATATTTAATTTCATTCTTTTAGTATACAGAATCACACATTAAACTTAGATTATATTAGATTGTTTAATTCTTATTAAGCAGGTTGTATATGTAATATTAAGTTGGTTGTATATTATTAGGTCTTCATTTCTATATATTTATACTAAATGGAATAATATGTTCAGTTTTCATTAAACAAGATCTTGATATTATTAAAATTTAATATTTTTAAAAACTTGGATATTACTTGTAATTAGGTTTTGCTTGAATAGGTTTAGTTCACCTTTTCAAAAAATTCTTGCAAAAAGCATTTTTTTATTTAAAATTTTTAGTACCATTCATAGAAAGTTTTATTCAATACTGTAATGTTTTTATTTCTTAAAAAATAATAAAACTATAATATCAATAACAATTTTACTTAATTATAGCAACTAATACAAAAAAAATATTTTATTTAATTATAGCAACTAATACAAAAAATATTGCATTTTTTAGTTTTCATCAGGTCAATTATTAAATTGACTTGTACGTACATAATCATAGTTCGCATATATAAAAAAATATTGCATATTATTAGAAAAGTTTTTGCTGCATTTTCAACATCCTTCACTTTATCGCTTTTTGTTTTTTTTGAATCTTTAGAATTTCGCAATTTGGATTCAGATGTATATCGTTTAATTTGATTTTTTAAAATTCCATTGTATCCAGCCTTAGTCCAATCAGGAGTGTTAAACAGTCTTTTTGTATTTTCTGCAGGTCTTTCATAATCAATGACTCCTTTTCTTTTTTGATGTGAAACAGTTGCTTTGTTCACATAATTTTGCAAAAAATTGCGTAGCTAATTAATGTTTAAATTAGAATTTGCTAATTTATAATTACAGTATATATAGTATTAATTGAATGAATATAGATAAACTTACAGTAGAAGAGCACTACTGAAGATCGCAGATTACAATCATTCGCTCTTTAGAATTATCAGTATCTGTTTCTGATAATTCTGGGCTATGATACCTGTTATCATCCATTGCTCATGAGAATGAAACCTACGTACAAGTGGGTCTTTAACCATTATCAATTTTTCAACTATCTTCCGCCAGTGTACTCTTTTCTATAAAGTAAATAGAGATATGATTATATAAATTTCTAATAGTTATTCTATTTAACTGACATCACACAGCATGACAATTTGCTAGTAAAATATAACTACAACTAATAAAATACTAAATTATCATGCTGTTTGATGTAGATTATATTGTCTATCAAAAAATAACTTAGCAACATTGTAATTGTAAGTAAACAATATAATAACAATACTTCAATACGCCTAGAAATAGCATGTTTCCTTCTTTTTAATGCATCGACCCATTGAGAACCCTTTTTTGCATTAAGATATTCCTCCCGTTTATGGCGGTGGTGTTCATGAATTATGTGTTTAATAACACCGTCAGCTATTAGAAAAATATTTTTATTGATTGTTTTTTGCACTATAGGAATTATTTTATTTCTTACAAAATTCTGTTGCACAAGAAAAGTTTTACTAGGATCCAACTTTTTGTTATTTGGAAGCTTATACAAATTTTTTTTTATTTCACTCTAAAGGTATATTTTAGTAAAATATTAACAATGAAAAAAATGGGTTGTCAGATAATTGTATTCAATATTTTCAGTTAAATTGAACCTAGTCACATTTAGAAATATCATATATTAGCTACCCGCAGAGCATTCTTTAGACTTTTATCCATATCCTCTTATTTAAGGTAAACAAATTTGTGATCTGGCCTAGAATCCGAGGATGGAGAAGAAGAGTTCGAATAATATCTCAATCGACTTTGAAATATTTTTGTTTTGGTTTCATAAATAAATGATCCCAGGAATGACTTGTGGATGAACAACTCTGGGAGTAGTTTGGACTTTCAGAAGATTCTGTAATTAATAATAATCATATAAATACAATATTATCTTAAGAATTTATAAAAAATTGTTTAATTATAAACTTCTACCTTGTGAATATTCTGATGAAAAATAACTTTTTAAGAAACTTTCTTAGAAATCTTCTGAATGATTTGTTTGGTAATCACTGCTTTGAGAATATTCCCGGGAATGGTTTTGACAATTTTGAGAAATATTTTGAAAATGATCTTGAAAATTATTTTGGAAACAATCTTGAGAAATATTTTGAACACAATCTTAAAAAATATTTTGAGCATGTAGTGGTGTGATCTGTTGATCGGCAATCTGGATAACCATTTGAAATTTGTATTTTTGTGTAATCTGTATTGTTATGGGCGGAATAGCTGCGACTTGGTCGCTCCACAATCCAAAAACTCATGTAACCTGTGGGTAGTAACCTTACAAAAGAGGTGTATTAGATTTGACTGGTGGGTGATTTAAGGCTTCAGTTATTCTGAGTCAGCAACGCTAGGTCACGTGAACAAGGGCTTAAC